CGTAAATATATCAAAACTTCATTTTTGATTAGTAAAATGCATTGCTAAGGACTTCATTTGGACAACTTTAAAGGCGATTTTCTCAATATTTAGATTTTTTTTGCCCCCTCAGATTCCAGATATTCAAATAGTTGTATCTCGGCCAAATAATGTCCTGTCCTAACAAACCATACACCAAATGGAAAGCTTATTTATTCAGCTTTCATACGATGCACAAATCTAAATAAAAAAAAATGACCCGTATGACTGGTTTTGTGGTCCAGCAAGGTCACATAAATGTTTATTTATTCACAATTATTTACATCCCTCTGCATTGTCCGGGTTTATTAGTGGGAATATCGCTAATAAAACACTTAACTAACTTTTAATAAACATTCTTCACGTATTAATGGAATTACGACTATGGATGTTTCAAAATCTCAACCGATTTAACAATAAAAATCCTAGCAGACGGTTTGTTGTGTCAACCCCAAGCAGAGGCGGACAAAGTACTCAACTCCATTACTTGAGTGAAAGTCCAGATAATGCTGGTCAAATATTACTCCATTACAATAAAAGTTGTAAAGACAGATTTTTACTTAAGTAAAAGTACAGAAGTACTTGCTTTTAAAAGTACTTAAGTACCAAAAGTAAATTTCCTTTTTTATGTCAATGCACTGTTTTATTGTTGTACGTAATACTTGCAATACTTCTGAAGCAACTTAGAATACATTACACCTGCTGAATACACTGACTAGCTTGTAGTATCTTTGGAATAAAGAGCTTTTAGAATGTTAAAAACCTATGGGGGGGGGAATTAACACCCCTACCCACCCGCAGTATGGTAGTGATCTCACACAGCTCTGACAGTGTGTGCACACATCTATGTGTAGCCATTCATCCACATTTGAACAGAGTGGACAGTGAAATCCTGTAAATACTGACTGATAAGGAAGAAAAAAAAATCAAACCTGCTTTAAAACCCAACAACACAACTGTAGCTGTACAACTTTACAACAGTAACACTGCTTTAACAAAAAAGCAAAACAGCAAGACTTATTTGACATCAAAACAAA